GGTGAAACTTAGGGTTATTTTTCCTATTAGCTGTCCCCTATTTCACGGCTCAGAATGGGCTAGGAAGTACCATTTTTTCTTTTTCTTTTTTTAACATGGGCACTGTTCTCGAGGTGAACAGTTCTACCTCGGGTACTATTCCTGAGGTGAACAGTAATTTTTTAAAATACTTGGGGCACTGTTCCTAAGGAGTTCTACCTCGGGTACTATTCCCAAGGTGAACAATAACTTTTTTTTACCCCATGGCACTATTCCCGAGGTGAACAGTAACTTTTTATTTTATTTATTTTTTTACTACCCCGTGAAATTATTCCAGATGTGAACAATTCTTCCTTGGGTACAATTCTTGAGGTGAACAGTAACTTTTTTTTTTTTTACCCTGAGACACAATTCCTGAGGTGAACAATTCTACCTTGGGTACTATTCTCGATATGAACAATAACTTTTTTTTAATCCAAGACACTATTCACGTGGTGAACAATTCTACCTCGGGAACATGCCTTGGTCTTGGATGACCAGGCCGTTTGCATGCCTTGATAATTAGGCATCTGGGACTTGGATGAATAAACTTTTATAGGCTAAACCTTGTTCTTAGATGACAAGGCCTTGGTGTGGACAAGAATTATCTCTTGGAAATCCAGTTATTGTGCATTATTGGGTCATTCCTTCAGGTAATGTGTGTGCCCAGTGGTCATGTTCCTTTCAAACCTTACTAAGGTTACATTTGAGAAACGTTCTCTTTTTCGGAGCTTTATCTTGGTCTATTTGATTATGATAGTGTCGACCCTTTAATAAGGGGAGTAGTTGTTCTTCCCCTTTTGATAAGAGGTTCATAATAGGTTCAACCTTCACTTAACTCGCCCCGTTGATAAGGGGACTAATAATTCCGAGCTTCATCCAGCCTGCCCTTTAAATAATGGGTTTAATTTTTCTGAATTTTACTACACTCACCCTTTTAATAAAATGGTTAATTTTTATGAGTTTCACTCAGCTCACCCTTTTAATAAAATAGTTAATTTTTACGAGCTTCATCCAGCTCGGCCCTTAATAAGGGGATGTTTTACCCAAGCTTCATAGCTTGCCCTTTATTAAGGGAATAGGCTCTTTTTTCTCTTCTTTTTTTAAGCTTCATGAGCTCGCCTTTAATAAGGGACTTACTATGTTTGAGGATGTCTCGGTAATTAGAATCGTAAACTGGTCGAATGATCTTGCATGTTTACTGCGTGCCCCTAGACCTGAGATAGTTTTCTAATTTCTATTGACACCTACCTAGGCTTGGTGGTTGAGACCTACTTGGTCTTAGTGACAGACCTACCTGGTCTTGTTGTAAGACCTACATGGTCTTTGTAGTTGAGACTTTCTTGGTCTTGGTGAAAGAGCTACGTGGTTCCAGTGGGACCTGACTGGCCTTGATGTAGACTCTGCCTTACCTTAGTGGAAGATCTTGCCTTACTTTGGTTGAAGACTCTGTCTGCCCTAGATGAAGACCTAGTTCGTGTTGCTAGGCGACCCTGCCTGCCTTACCGTGGTGTGAGCCCCTACATTACCTTAGTAGAAGATCCGTCGACGTTGGTGAGAAGCCTTTTTTGGTTTTAGTGGGAGACCCCTTCATGGAAGACTTACCAGCCTTGGTGAGAGACTTTACCTAGCCTTACTGGAGAATTGCTTGCCTTGGTGGGGGACTTTGTTGTCTTGGTAGAGTCTTGCTTACCTTGGTAGGAGACATTATGTGGCCTTGGTAGGAGATTTGCCTAGCCCTAGTGGGAGACCTGGGAGACCTGTTGGCCCTACCTTAATTGGAGATCATAATATGAAACATCTTACCAACATAGCCTTAGGAGACTTTGTTCGCATTGGCTTTGCAAGGCTCAATGTAGGTGAGGCCTAGCCAAACGGTTGATGTGAGTGAACGTGCTAGTGCTAGGCTAATGTGGGCGAGCCGTTTCCACTATGAGGCTTGAATCTACCCCCGGCTTGATGTGATTGAGACTCGTTAGGTTTGATGTGCATGAGATTAAGTTTGGTTCCTAGTAGAAGAGACCATTCTTGGCGCCCAATGGTCAAAAGCCTCATTCAGCATGGAAATACATCGGATGAGGTGAACTCCCTGATTATAGAAACTTCCTTGGACGTAGAGTCCTTCTCGGCGTGTAAAAATCTACCAGGCTATGGTCTTGGATGATCGAACCTTGATCTTATATTACCATGTCCTTGTGCCTAGTTTGGAAGACTATGCTTTAGTAGTTTTAGGGGCCAAATACCGGTTGGCGAGTTGGCTTAGTGTACCGAGGTTGATGCATCAGGCTTATGTACCTACCACCATATGTAGATTAGCATCATGCGATTCACCGTTATGCCCCCAATATGATGGATGGGTGATTATGGTGTGGAAACCCGTACTTCTATAAGAACAGGGAACCCATTGTTGCGACACTTCACAACGGATGCTTTCAGGACGGTTTCCATAATAAAAAAAACCTTTGTCTTGTCGTCCGAGCCGAATCGCATCAGAATTACTATTTTTTTAGGGAACTAATCAGTTCCCACACATATTGCCAACTGTTGATGTGAAAATCTGTGACCGGAATGACGATGTTTACCTACAAAATAATGGAGATTACATCACCTTGGGTGGCACCGGTGTGGTGAGGAACCTCCGACGATCAAGTTAGTACTTGAAATCGTATAACGAGAAAGTAATTATGTATGAAATGTTCAGGAGTTTTCTCATACATTGTTTAATAGCCATCAACCATATTTATGATTGCATCAGGATCCTTACATTTATGTAGATGTCGATTAGGGAGATTCAGTTTATCTTTTCTAATTGATTTCTCCTATCTTTGTGAATTGAATGATACTGTAGATTATCATTATACTCTTTTATAAGAAGTCGAAGGGAACGGTACGGTCAAGGCTTCTGGTCAAACTTAGGGTTATTTTTCCCTATCAATGTTAATTTGTGAACCATTTCGTACTTGTTTATGGTTTCAGAATAAAAGAAAAAATAGTTTTCATTATGATTTAGGTATTCATCTTTCTTCTATTCAACCAAACAAAAATGGGGGAGATACATTCCCTTCCCTAAGGATACCTCATCTATCCCTCCCCCTTTCCCTTCCATCTATTTTTCCATCACTCCAATCAAATGGAGCATTAATGAACCATCCAAAGATTAATCCCACTCTTTTATAATGCTTATCATATATGGTTTGACATATTATTCATCTATTTATTTCCTTAAAATATTACAATATTATTTAAATGACCCAATTATTTTTTTATTATTATTAGTATTAACTTTTTGTGTTTTTTTTTTTACCGTCCACTATAATGATGTCGGGCTCTTAGAGCTCCCAATTGCCAAACCAATATAAAGCTAAAATAGGTGGATGATCAATCTGGGATTATTCTGGATGATGTCTCAGTTCCATTAAATAAGATCAAGGGCATTCAGCTCCTTTGGACTTCAGGAGCTGGTAAAACTATTGCTCAATTACCAAGTCAGCATACTCTCAAATGCAAAAGAGGTGATCTAGAGAAGCAAGGTGTGGCCACAATGGACTCTGTGTATTGCACTCTGAATTATGTATTGATATTTGATTCCTCTGCGTTTGAACAAAATGATTTTGCCATGTTAAAGAGAGAGAGAGTATTTGGAGATATAAATTGGTATACATATGCATACCAATATAGAATATACCACCAAGTGGTATTTTCAATAAAAGTAGAAAGTGTAGAATTCAAGTCACATTAGAGATAAAGTGGGTGTGTCAGTAACTTGTCAAAGTTTTTTTTTTAAAAAAAGATAGAGAATATTTTGTATTACTAACATACATTAAATATGTACTCCCAAGAGATGCACACATATCCATAATATTGTTTCTTATAGGACTCGAATAGATCTTACCATCTTAAGTAATGCTTGGTTGGTGCCATTGTGGTTAGGTATGGGTAAGAAAATATATCTAATTTGGGACAACCCTATATTCTCATATTTACTAGCAATGGGAATTAAGAAATGTGGCTTGTTTGGTTTGTTACTCAGCAAATAATTTCAAGTACTTAGAAAACAAAAAAATTATAAAAATAGTTCTTTGAAAACAAGTCTTTTTAAAGAGTTTTCAAAAAATTATTTTTAAAAACTATCAGCCAAATAATTTTTTGTATGATTTTTTTTTGTGATTTTTCAATTTTCGAAAAACAGAAAACCATTATTAGAAAATTGAACCAACAAGCCAAACCTATCTGGTAAAAGGTAAAAGTTTTCCCTAAGAGCATCCACTATGCAACCAAAAGTGGCAAGGGCGAGAGATTGTAGTGAGAATTGGGTGGTTGGTGAGCAGCAGTACTCGCCAAATGGTAGGTCCACACTTTTTTTCTTTTCTTTTTAAAAATTTTTAGGATGTGAAGGGCCCCACACATTTTTATTTTTTGTGTATGTGTTTTTACAATATAATGTGATCACTTGTCATTATTTTGAATTTCAGTGACCACAATCTTGTAATTCCTGTTCCTTTTAGTATATTTGTGTGCCATTTAAGTGTTTGTGTTTCACCATGGTATTATAGTTCTTACTTTAAATTAGATATAAAGCTAATATGTATAATTTGAAAATATTTTCTTTTCATACAATTTTATAACCTGAAAATCCAGTTCTAATTTTATCTCTCATTGATAATGTTGTTAATTTCTTTCTTTTTTACTTATTTTTATCTTATTTTTTTGCTTTTAAGCCTTTTATCATAATTTTGTAAATAGATATATTAATCAACATGTGCCATGTGGTTGTTAGTACTATCTCTTGTAATATGTACATATTTCATGGAGATGAAAAAGATACACCAGTTAAATTCTTATTGGTTCTAGTTTGGCTGATTCCCAAATTTTCTGCTTGTTTTGCATTTATTATTATTTTTATCTGTACGTATTTAATTTGGAAAAACCATCCAACAATAAATGAGAAAAAGACTATGGGACATACTGACAAAATTCCACTCTTTGAAAAATAATAATAATAAAAGAAAATTTCCACTCAAAGGTACACAAAACATATTTAATAATATTCTGTTGATAAACAAGCCCATACATGAACAAATGCAAATCAATTTTTTTTTTCGGGGGTGGGGAGGGGGCAAACATTTACTTACTGCCACACTTATTTCACTGATACATTCACACACTCTTCCACACATTTAATTCACTAATCTTTCACTAACAACGTCATATTATCAGATACTCCAAACTAGGAAACCTGACCTGCAAAAACATCATTCTAATGCTCTTGCACACACTGCATACATTTAATTCACTGAAAAATGGAACCCGACACATCTTTCAACCACAATATGTTATATACAAATCCTCCAAACTAGGAAATCCGACCTGCAAAAACATCATTCTAATGGTGTTACAAACAACTACTATGAAATAACAAAGAGAAAAAGGGTGTGGAGGGAAGCATATATAGCTTCATTCTCTCAACATATTTAAACCTTCCCTATTGTCTTTACATTCACCCTGTTGAGATCTTCCAAATGCTTCTTAGTATCCACTTAATTACAAATTAACATGTGCTTCACCACTAAAGCTTTTGCTTTTTGATTTTTATTTTTTCACATGGTAGTTCCTAATTTTTTAATGATTCCACCAGATATGGAATGATGCATCTAATTTGTCATTCATTTTTATTTCCAAGCTGTAGAAAACTTCAGAAAATTACAAGGAAATCAGAATATTAATTGATTATATATATTTTCGTAGTTTCATACTATAAATATAATCCTATCTCATAATATATAATTGATTAAATGAAATAACAAATTAGGAATTTTTCTAGGGATATAAGCAACTATGTGTAGACACCATTGTGGAGACGAAAAATAAAGGGAGTAAGTAGCTGGGAGTACGTAGCATCTGGTATGGGGAGGAGAGAGAATAAGAGAGTAACAGAAATTAAAGAGTTTAATTTGATAGAGGGAGCATTGGAAATTATTATAATTTCTACGTGATGGGTTTGTGAACCTGGAAAGGTTTTAACAATATAGAGGGATCTTCAGTACACATATATGCATGGTTAATTAAGACTTAGGACATAACGTACCTTGTGGTTGACCAAGGCTTGTAGTCGGGATTCTTTTGTTTCTTCTTTAGAACTTTTCAAGTTATACAAAGACCAAAGATTTATAACCTTTAAGTGAGGGAACACGGGAATCTCATCATTTGCTTCTGCTTCTTCTTCTCCTTGTCCAACTTCAAATGCAAGTATCTCTTCCATCTCCATACATGTGCTTGCCTCTAACTTTTGGAGATGCTTAAAGGAATCTCCACCTTTCAGGACTGGGATTAATTGCTTATCCCATATCGCTTTAATGTTATCCAATCCTACAATTCTCAATACCTCCAAGACAGGAAACATAACCTGTGATCCACAATTACATTAAATTTTGTCAACTAATAAACATCATGTATATATTATTTGCCTCTAAGTCTTCCCAACCCACTCCACGCTAAGATTTTTGAAAACATCAATTCCAAACAGTCTTTATGAAAACAAGGTATTCCACTATTTATATATCATCAACAACTATAGAAACAACTAAGAAACAATTTATGTATAGTTTTTAGTTTTTCATTTTATTTTTTCTATTTTTCCTTACCAAGAAACAATAGGACTGAACACTACATTTAACTAAGGATAGATCGAACCCATATTTGTCTTACTTATAGTGTAATATAATTGATTCTTGGTTTGGGAAGATAAATATAAATTTACAGGGTGGGTCCAATGCAACCTGGTGACAGAGCCTAGCAAATCAAATTTAATTAGTGGCCAAAAAAAAACAATCAGTACCCCTAGAGCCTCAATTTGATTGAAGCCAAGGTGGAGTTCAAAACTGAGTTTAAACTTCCTCTTAAATGCATGCTTGTTCTTCTCAGACAATTTTTTGACCATTTATAATTAAATCGACACAAGGACTGGATATCAGAGCAAATTGGGGAAGAGACAGAGCCACACAATCAATAAGAGTTATGGTATGGAAGCAAAAAAACCACAAGAGTTACGACCTTTTTTTTTTTATTTTTTTTATCTAAAATCAAATTGCTTTGAATATGAATTTCTTTGTGCGGAAAATGAAGTCCCAGCCCAAGAACAAAATAGGCTGAGTTACTCCCAAAAAAAAAAAAAAAAAATTCATCAAAAGCATTGAATTTGTGAAATTAAAATTAACAACGCATTCTGAAGCCTAATAAAATTAACATAAATGTTACTCACGTAAAAGAAAAAGAAGGATAACAGTAAATTTTTTACGCAATAAACTTGTCTAAATGCCTAGGAAAAGTTTTTGCCTAAAAAACTAAAATAAAATAAAACTTATGTCAAATAGTGGTCTAGTATTAATAATTAATCTTAACCACTTAATTTAAATAATTTTGTGATTATCCATATTTAAGAGATATGGTGCATTGTATGTGATAGGAATGCATTGTATCATAAACTCTTATATGCCTTGAGATTTTAAATGGTTATTGGAAGCTCGTTTTTATAGTATTTAATCTCAAATAAACTTCCAAAGATGAAAGATATCTTTTTTATTTTTTTTTACCAAGATTTATATCATTGGACCCAATAGTTTTATTTATGCATAAATTGTTAACACTCAATAAAGTAAAGCCCCATCAGAATAACAGCTAATATATAAATATACGTCTATGTATATAGTTCTAAACTCTACAATCTTAATAATTTTTCCTTAATTTAGGTTTTACCTTAATTTTGTATCAAAATTGTTAACCCATATTTGTTTTTAATTTTGCTTTGCAAGAACTTTGACAAATTAGTATGTGGAGCTTCAGCAAAAGAGAGAGACATGGGTCACCAAACAATTTCCAGAAATATATAAAATACCTTTTCATTGAACAGAGGTTGTTTAATTGTGGAAGGCGTGCTGGACTCTGTAGTTGATGTCTTCTTCGTATTGGCGTGAATGCTTTTGAGATTTGGCAGCCTCCTCAAATCCAATTTCTTTAACTGATGAAAAGTAACATTATCCGTGACTTCCTCATCACCTCCAATTATTTCTTCCAATGCCTCACAATCGAATGCATTTAACTCTTGGAGATGCTGAACGGAATCTCCAACTTTTGGCACTGGGAGTAATTGCTTGTCCCATATCGCTTTAATGCTATGCAATCCTATAATTGTCAATACCTCCAAGACAGGAAACATAACCTGTGATCCATTACATTAAATTTTTGTCAACTAATAAACATTATGTATATATTCTTTGCCTTGTAAGTCTTCCCAACCCATTCCACACTAGGATTTTTGAAAACATCAATTCGAACCAATCTTTATGAAAAGAAGGTGCTCTACTATTTATATATCATCAACAACTATAGAACAACTAAGAAACAATTTCTGTATAGTTTATAGTTTTTCAATTTATTTTTTTAATTTTTCCTCACCAAGAAACAATAGGAATGAGCCCCTACATTTAACTGAGGATAGGTCGACTCCATATTTGCCTTACTTGTAGTGTAATATAATTGATTCTTGGGAAGATAAGTGTATGCATTATCCCAAGATACAGAGTATCATATCAGACTAGTTCAAAACTAAGTTTGACCTTCCTCTTAAATACATGATTGTTCCTCTCAGACCAATGCTAACAGATACTCTCTATTCAATTCACAACTATTGACTTAACAAATACAGAGTATGGTGTATACTCTCCTCCTCTTCTTTTTTCTCATTGGAAACGAGATAAACATTTTGTATGTGTACCATGCTATGCAATCTGCTATCTAAATTTCAAAATAATACACCATACACTACACACACACACACACATATATATATATATGTGTGCATTATAATTATTTGATGTAATGACTAAGGTGACATCAAATGCATCACGCATGTGAAACATGAGCTTAATTTATTCCGGATTCGAAGTTTCTAACACAATACATTGAAAAGTTGACCCATTATTAAGCTCCACTAGTCCACTTAATAATAATAATATGCATTTTCCCAAGGTATAATATTTAAACTTAAATAGAAAGAGAGAATATAGAAAATGTCTCCTTGTGACTAGAAATAGTCCTAGCATTAAAAAAAAAAAAAAAAAAAAAAAAAAAAAAAAAAAAAATTGGAATATTACATATTAGTTCTACTCGTTGCTGCACCGACCAATAAATTCTAAATATTTTTAATATACAACTATTTTGTTGGGGAAAAAATTTAAATTGCAAAAAAATATATTTTAGAGGATAGGAAAAGCATAATGAAGCATCAAAATAGTCGGGGATGGTGCATGAATTTATGGAAGTCTATTTTTCCTTACCTTATTTGTATGTGGTCTAGGTTAAGGAAAGTTCTAAACTCTACAGTCTTAATATTTTTTCCTTAATTTAGATTTTACCTCATTTTGTATCAAAATTGTTAATCCATCTTTGTTTTCAAGTTTGCTTTGCAAGAACTTTGACAAAATAGTGGGTCAACAAACAATTCCTCCAAGATAGGAAACATAACCTCTGATCCATTTCGTTAAATATTGTCGACTAATAAACATCATGTATATATTTTTTGCCTTGTAATGAAAAGAAGATACTCCACTATTTATATATCATCAATAACTATAGAACAACTAAGAAACAATTTTTATATAGTGTTTAGCTTTTCATTTTATTTTTTCTATTTTTCCTTACCAAGTAACAATAGGAATGAGCCCCACATATAACCAAGGATAGATCAACCACATATTTGTAATACAAATTGATTCTTGGTTTGGGAAGATAAATATAAATTTACAGGGAGGGTCCAATGCAACCTGGTGACAGAGCCCAGCAAATCAAATTTAATTAGTGGCCAAAAAAATTGAGTTTGACCTTCCTCTTAAATGCATGTTTGTTCCTCTCGGACAATTTTTTGACAAATAGAATTAAATCGACCCAAGGACTGAATATAAGACCAAATTGGGGAAGAGACAGAGCCACACAATCGACAAGAGTTATGGATATAGAAGCCAAAAAACCACGAGAGTCGAGAGCCGATTTGAATTGCAAGTCAAAGAATGAAGCTCTGCCAAGGGATGCAGGGATTAAAATGAACAAAATGGGCAAGATGAGTGCTAAACAAGCATTAGATTTAACACGAAAGGAGAAAAACGAAGCAAATTATATCAGTGTGACATTTTATCTAAAATCAAATTGCTTTTACTATGAATTTCTTTGCGCGGGAAAACGAAGTGCCAGCCCAAGATCAAAATAGGCTGAATTACTCCCAAAAAAAAAAAAAAAAATCATCAAAAGCATTGAATTTGTGAAATTAAAATTAACAACATAGTCTGAAGCCTAATAAAATTAACAACATAAATGTTACTCACCTAAAAGAAAAAGAAAAGGATAGCAGTAATGGTATTATATTTTTAATTAACCTTATTTCAAATAGTGGTCTAATATTAATAATTAATCTTAATCACTTAATTTAAATAATTTTGTGGTTAACCATATTTAACAGATATGGTGCATTGCATGTGATTGGAATGCATTGTATCATAAACTGTTATATGCCTTGAAATTATAAATGATTATGTGATAGGAATGCAATGTATCATCATGAAAGGCAACTATGCATTGTATGTGGTTATTGGAAGCCCATTTTTATAGTATTTAATCTCAAATAAACTTCCAAAGATGAAAGATATGTTTTTTATTTAATTTTATTTTTTTATCAAGATTTATATCATTGGACCCATGAGTTTTATTTATGTAGAAATTGCTAACACCCAATAAAGTAAAGCCCCATCAGAATAACAACTAATATATAAATATACGTGTATGTGTATATAGTTCTAAACTCTACAATCTTAATAAATTATTCCTTAATTTAGGTTTTACCTTATTTTGAATCAAAATTGTTAACCCATCTTGGTTTTTAATTTTGGCTTGCAAGAACTTTGACAAATTAGTGGGTCAACAAACAATTTCCAGAAATCAACTAAAAAAATACCTTTTCATTGAAGAGAGGTTGTGTAACTGTGGAAGGTGTGCTGGACTCTGTAGTTGATGTCTTCTTCGTATTGACGTAAATGCTTCTTAGGTTTGGCAGATCTACCAGCTTCAATATCTTTAACTGATCAAAAATAACTTTATCCGTGACTTCCTCGTCACCTCCAATTATTTCTTCCAATGCCTCACATCCTCTAACTTTTAACTTTTGTAGTTTTGGAAGACATCTTGCAGTGGACGCGGAGAACAGATACTTAATTGATGTACTAAAATCAACTTTTAATACTCTCAATTTACCAAAAGAACCCAATGGAGATGGTCCATGAGTTTTTGAACTCCATTTGGGTTTGCCAAGTAGATGTTCCATGTCCTCACATCCCCAAACTCTAAGATACTTCAAGTCTGAAAACCACTCTCTGTCTCTGTTGTGAAGCACCTTCTTTGAACCTTCCAAATGAGCCAAAAATAGTACTTCAGCGTTCGCAATCAAAACATCAAGCCCATCCATCAAAGGAATACCATCAAGTCCCAAGACCTTTGTTTCTGTGCGTTTGTCAAGCATTGAAAAAAAATAATGATGATCAGACCCAATCCAAATTTTATATTTCGTTAACAACGAAAAGCTGGGAAGGTCCTTGGGTAGTTGTAAGAAGACATCTGTTGGTATATAAATATGTAAAGCGGTTAAGCTAGTCAAACGATTTATCTCAACAATGCTTGCATTGCCTTCAACCTCCCATCCATTATATATATTCGGAATGTACAATTCCTCGAGGTCAGATAGAGATGACAGGGAGCCTGATGGAAGTCTTGTACCCTTAACAAAATTGCCTAAAAACAAGGACCGTAGACAAGTCAACTGCTCTATTTCCATAACCACCTCCTTTGAATGATAAATCATTAGTATCTCAAGATTTTTCATTTCTCTGAGGAAAGATAGGTTCACCAAGTCACAACCCCTAAGCCACAACATCCGAAGACTAATCAAATTTGAAAGTGATGACGGTTCTAGTTTCATGTTTTCCAAAATCAAAACTTCAAGCTTTTCCATCCCTTCAAAAAAGCTATTTGGAAGTTCTAGTGGTGAATCACCACTTGACGCCAATAGTAAGGTGCATAGTCCTTGACAGTCTAACTGATCGGGAAGCCGACGAACATTGTAGGAAGCTATTAATGATATTGCTTTGCAATATTTATAATCATCTTTATCCGGCCAAACATTGATACCGTGTTTCACTAGAAACGCATTCTGATCTTTTGATGTAATTGATATGACAACATCTCGAACTACGTCATGCATTTTAACCATGTTGTCTTTTTCACCTTCTAACAACAAGTTAGATTTCTTGAGGATACCAACTATCACAAGTGTTCTATCTCTTGCTCTTTTCATTGATGCTCTATCTGTACTTTCAAGAAACTTTGTTCCTACTCCCAAAGTCACCAACCAGTCAATAGGAATCTCCGTATCTTCAGGAAACAAAGAGCAATGCAGAAAGCATGACCGGACATCAGCGAGCTTCAGATACTTGTAGCTCCACTCAATGCATGAATACACCTTTTGTTCCACTCCATCAATTTTATATCCCCGACAATGTTTCAGTTGTTCAAGTGCATCATTCCATGTAGGCATATGATCCGAACCACTCAGTGCTCCTCCAACTGCACAAATTGCCAATGGCAAATGATCACATTCTCTGCACACCTGTTGCGCTATGGGATGAAGAGCATCAGCTTCAATAAAATCTCCAACCGTTCTCTTGAATAGGTGCCAAGCTTCAGCTTCCGAAAGGAGTCCAATTGGGAAGTTTTTTTCAAACCCCATCTTTTTGCACACTTCTAGGCTTCGGGAGGTCAACAAAATTTTGCAACCCATGCTATTATCATCTGTATCTGCTGGAATACCTATTTTCTTCAATGTATTCTTATCATCCCAAACGTCATCCAATATTACAAGAATTTTTTTCCCATTCTTCAATCTATTGTATAGTTGACCGGCTCTCCCTTCTTCACTCTCTCTATCTAGAGTCAGATTCAAACAATCTGCAAGTTTTCCTTGAATTTTTTTCAGATCCGGATTTTGGGAGAAAACTGCCATTGCGACCTCATCAAAAGGACCCTTTTCAGCTTGTTTACCAACTTCCTCCACCATTGTTGTCTTGCCAACGCCAGCCATTCCATATATCCCGATCTTGGAATTCTTATCATCTCTCAACGCCTTCATGATCTCCTCAAAAATAGATGCTCTGGTACTGAATTGCTCATAACTCGTGCTGGATGTGTACCAAATATCTTTGAGAAGAGTGCGGTGTGCAACTTCATCGCCAAACTCATTGCGATTCTGCTTTAGTTTGATAGCATCCATCGCCATTTTCTTCCCTTTCTTACCAAGCCTGTACCGTGAACGCACATCAAGACATTTGATATTTGTTTTGTCTTTGAATTCTTCTTCCATAGTCGTCAATGAGTGCTCCACTTCCTCCAGCCACTCCTCAGCAACCTTTTTGATGGTCATACCGTTGGCCTTGGCTATATCGACAGCTGCTTGGACCGTGTCCCTCACATCTTTAAGATGCTTTAGTTCTTCTTCCAAATTCTTAATATTTTCCTTGTATTTAGCCACATAACCAATTTGACGCCCAATTGATGAGAACAAATAGTCAAATATTGGATCTAATATTTTTCCCACAATGGCATCTATAACACAACTCATTTTCAACTCACTAGCTAGCTGCTGTTTCTTTTTTTTTTTGTTTTTTTTTTTTTTAACAAACAAGATGACGGAATACAAAAAGAATATTGACAAACTAGTCCGAGTTTAAATGAGAAACGAGTGAAAGAGAAAGATAACAAAAAGTGAAGATTCACAATTAGGACATGAATATACGAAAGAGGGAGGGAGAAAGATCAAAATTCAATTCAGAGAGGGAGATCAAAAAACAAATATAAAAAAGAAGACCAGCCCGAGAAAGATTAAAAGCAACAGAAAGGAAGAAAAAGAGAGAGGAGATGATTGAATACAAAGATATTACAACCAAAACATACGTCTACGGAGAGCAGAGTGACAAGCAAGTGATCGACAAGAGAAAAGAGATACAAATTCAGATGTAATAGAGATGTCAGACAACAAATGGCACCATAGAAATGCAAACAACTCTGATTATTATGGTTTTGAAGATGAGATTTTAAGACGTACCGTACCTCTAGCGCTTATGGGATTTGTTTGCACCAAGCTAGCAGTGAGTGAGAATGCACATTGAGAGAGAATGAGTGATGCTTGTTGTATCTCAGAACCTAATTCAAATTCAAAAAGAAAGATTAGAAGGAAAATAGGACGCCTTTAATGTCATTGTCATCTTTTGATATACATGGTAAATTCTGAATAGTTAAAGGAGGAAAAAGAAAAAGGGGGGGAAAAAAAAAGTAGACTTCGTCTCATTAATTTCTATTGGTACATTTTTTTTTTTTTTTTTCCTGCTGACTTACTGGTACATATGTTGCTGAATTAATTTGATGATTAGAGAAACTAGAAGGTCAATCATTCAAGTGTTTTATTCAAATATGTAGTTGCTGATTAGCATGTCTTTGAAAATTTTAGAATGATTAATTTAGTGTTCATCTAATAATTTTCATAGTAATTTTAATTTGACAAGTCCTCGAGAAATAGTTTATATCTAACAATGTTACAAACACAAATTATCTAAAGTTTAGTTTTTTAAAAAATAAAAAATGCATACCATAAACTCAAGCCATACAAAATTAAGACCCAAAGATTTTTATTATTTTACAATTACTAAAAATAAGACATAAAAAATCAAATTATAAAAAAATTAAGTGAGCATTTTTGCCCATGCTGCTTTTACCCTTTATTTATTTATTATTTATTTCTTTCTTTCTTTCTTTCTTTTTATGCCACATTTGCAAAATACGACTTTTAATGCCATTATATTTAATGGCGAATGACTTTTTTATGCCACATTTCTAAAATAGTATGCCTTTAATGTCATTATTTCTACATCATGCGGTGGTTGAAAATAAGGTCCACCCATGTTAAATACATTGCAAAAGTAGATGATATATGAATGTTGTACGACTTTAATGTCATGTGTGATGTGAATGCATTGACTTGTTACATCATTGAGAAAGAAAAGGGAAAAAAAAAAAATTTGTTACATCAAGGGGTTAGCACAATGCGTGTCACAAATGTGGGGGTAGTCTTCATGTTATTGGTCCTAGGTCAATAATGTACTAAATAATTGTGTCTGGAAAATGAGTTTATGGGTCACCATGTAATTATTTGGGACAAATAATTCCGAGACTACCTAATAAGTTTTCCTAATAGCCAAATCTAGTGGCTCCACTACCTTGAAAATCTTTTTTTTTTTTTTTTTTTTTTTGTTACAACGGTTTTTTTTCATATTTTTTCAACAATCCTTCATATTTATTTTTATTTTTATTTTTTGTTCCTCCATACTAAATTTTATTTTTGTGATGGCAAAAAACTCCCACAATGTTGTTGGGAGACTAGAATCATCCATCTTTCTATGCTCGGTGTTATATTAATAGTATAATATTACTAATTAATTAATTGTTGGCACGTATTAATAAGAATCAAGTAAATAAATATCTGCTTGTGTGATGGAATATAATTGGATGAGAATACCGATGTCGTGGTACACGGGTTTCTCCTAAACTATAGGCCTTGTTTACTGTCTAACTAATAGAATATAATAAGATATGCCAATGAAAATTCGTGCATATATTAAAAGATTTACCAATGGCGTTTATCAAGGGTGGGAAGGGAGAGTGAACTAGAGAACTAGTTGAAGGGGACAACAATCTTAAAATATTAAATTAAATATTAATAAACTTTTTGAACCAAACAATAAGTACATAAATTTAAATATTAATTGTTGTGACTAAGCATGTTGAATTATGACTCATTAGAGAAATTCATGTCAATCATTTAAGTGTTTAATGTGTAGAGTTGATCATGTAAATATGTACTTGCTGATTAACATGTCCTTCGAAAATTTTAAAATAATTAATTTAGTGTTCATCTTATAATTTTCATAATAATTTTGAATCGGTAACTCTTGGAGAAATAGTTTATACCTAACAAAGTTACAAATACAAACTATCTAACGTTGTAGTTTTTTTATGCCACATTTGCAAATTAACATATAGTACGAATTTAATGCCATTATATTTACAATGTACAGTAGCTGCGAATGACTTTTTTTATGCAATATAGTTGGATGCTTTAATGCCATTATATCTACATTGTACACTAGTTGGAAATAGGGTCCACCCCCAATAAATACTCCGCAAAAGTAGATGAAATAGGGTCCACCCTCAATAAGTCATGTATGATGTGAATGTCATTGAATTGTCGCTTGTTAGATTAAGTGTTGATGAATTATACCGTCACATGATTATGATTCAATTCCGTGTAAAATTGACTAAATGTGAGTCCACAGATGGGTGCAAATATAATAGTCAGTCTATCATGAACCCACCACTTTAAAAAGTGTTTATTTATTTATTTTTACAACGGTTTGTTTTCATATTTTGGGATTTTTTTTTTTTCCCGCGATTCATGGTTCGCCGTATCAATCAGTTCGTAATTCTTTTTCAATGGTATGATACTGTTACACACTTTCATGAACTAACCGTGACCAGTTTACACCGATATTCGTCCAAATCCGTTACACCGCGACTACGACGGCCAACTATGTTACGGTTCCCTATTATTATTATTATTATTATTATTATTTATTTTTTTCTTTGTTTGGACTGAACAATTATTTTCTCAGTACTCTTTACATTATGATTTTTTTAAAACATTTTTTTTAAAAAAAAAAATGAGCCCTTTGCCTTTTGATTTTTTTTATATATTTCTTTTAAAATTTTCAACAAATATATGAAAATGTAGGTGCTTTTTATAATCATTGGAAAATTAATCCAACGATTATAAAATTTTCAAACAAAAGAAGATTGGAAAAAAATGGTTATAGTTTTTGAAAAAAAAAAGTGTAGTGGTGTAAAAGTGTGTATAAAATGCACTATCTTTTCGTACGTGTATATTGAATTTTTGTGTGTGAATGCAAAGAAAGGACCTGTCTTGGGAAGATTGAAGAATGAAAACGAAGGGTCATTGGTTGGCAGGGAAAGCTACTAATGCAAAGAATTATTGAGAGAGAGAAAAAGTAGTTTTTTTTTTTTCTTTTTTTTCTTCTGTTTCCTTATTTGTTTGGACTGGACAATTATTTTTTCCGTGCTTCACATTATGATTTTTTAAAAACTTTTTTAAAAAAAAAAAAAAAAAAATGAGCCCTTTGCCTTTTGATTTTTTTTTATATTTCTTTTAAATTTGTCAACAAATATATGAAAATATAGCTGCTTTTTATAATCATTGAAAAATTAATCCAACGATTATAAAAATTTCAAACAAAAGAAGATTGCAAAAAAAATGGTTATAGTTTTTGAAAAAAACACAAAAGTGTGCTGGTGTAAAAGGGCATATATAGAATTTTTGGGTGTGAATGCAAAGAAAGGGCTGTCTATGGAAGATTGAAGAATGAAAACGAAGGGTCATTCATTGATTGGTAGGTAGGGACAGCTAATAATGCAAAGAATTATTGAGAGAGAGAAGATAGCATGCATGACAGGTGGAAACTTATTGACAGAGAAAAAGTGATTTTGATGTGAGGGAAATCAACGGTTAGAGATAAGAAGAGATACAGATAAAAATTCGTTTTCAGCTCGGAGGTAGACTGGTAGTATCATTTATTATTATTATTATAATAATTATATAATCTAAATATTATATAAAAAATAAAATTAATAATTAAAATAGCAAAAAAACAATTACCTCCATTGAAACCATCACAGATCTACGCTGCAAGTACAGTAACACACACAAACCTTTATTCACTGAAATCATTCCAGATCTATGATGCAAGCACAGTATCACACACAAACCTTATAATTGTACACACACACATATATATACACTATATAGTATGCAAGAACTGTTGAAAAGAAAAAATATATATTTTTGTTAAATGATTTTGTGTTTTTTTTTTTTTTTTTTATATATAATATTCTTAAAATTCATATCGACCATTAGGTGTATAAAAATGGCTAAAATAATGTGTGAGATATTTTGTGGCATGATGCAATAAAATTCATCATAGTAGAGCCCTTGAGCATATATAATAACCCCAAACTGATTGTGGGTAAATGATAGAGGCTGAAATAGCATCCAAGAAAAAGAGTGGTGGAAATCAAAATTTGCATATTGGTGTCGGTATCCAATTTCTTCCGCTAAATCTAGTTTGATGCTATGCTGACAATTAACATATGAGTCCTTATTGAGAGTAACCAATTTTTTTTTTTGTTTTTTTTTTTTTTTTTTTTTTTTGTGTTTAACCGTCCATACTAAATTAATTATTATTTTTTATTTGTGGTGGTAAAAAAACTCCCACAATGTTGTTAAGGGAGACAGCAACCATCTACTCTTCAAATTTTATTTTATTTTTTTTCCCTCAAAATTTACTTTTCAACGCTTGTGTTATATTAATAGCATGGTATTACTAACTAATTAATTATTGGCATGTACTAATATGTTGAATTTCAGAGACAGAAGATAATGGGAGAGTAAGATATACAATGGAGTTTGGAAACTAAGTCCCAAAATATGCCTGGCGAATGAGCTTTGGTAAAGATGTCAACGGCCTCATCAACGAAAGTTACAAAATGAAAACGTACAATGCCATAAGCAACATGTTGGCGTACAATATGATAATCAATTTCAATATATTTGGTGCGTTCATAGTAATGTAAATGGCACTTTGATTATCACACCATAGAACTGTGCCAATGAAATGATAAACTCCCATATCTGTTAAGAGCCATTGAAATCAGATAAAATTATTATTTTTTGTTTTTTATTGTGAGCAGGTATGTTTACAATTACTAATGCCTAGTACAATATTAGTTGGACATAGAGTCACCCTTGTTAAGTAGTCCGCAAAAGTTGATGATATATGAATATTGCCTAAGTCATGTGATGTGAATGCATTGAATTGTCAATTGTTAGATTAAATGCTAGCCAGTTATACCATCGAATGATCATCATTTAAAAGTTGGCTAAATGTGAGTCACACATGGGTGCGGTGTAATTGTCAGTCTATCATAATCCCACCACTTTAAAAAGGTATTTATCTATTTATTTATTTTTACAACATTACACAACAAATATATTTCAAACAAAAGAAGATTGGAAAAAAATATCGGTTTACACTGATAT